TAGGTTGAGAATGAGGCGAAGCATAGTTAGCTAGTATTGAGAATCACGAGTTAAGAGTTATAAAAAATTAAGCTAACACCTAGCAGTGATAAGTTTATCATAGGATCTCAAAATTAGCACTTTGATGAAAGATTCGTTACTATGGTCTGGTTTAGTACTACATGTGAGAAGGCATCCAAAGAACTTACCATCACAGTATCCAATTACTTAATAATTTTGGTTCTTGTTTTGGAAATGCCAGATAAGTTGCAGAAATGAGCCAATGAAGTGTCAGAACTATTTGTGGTTAGTTCAGAATACTATTTGGAAAATTGGAAGGATACAGGGAAAATATAGTATAAAAACTAGAATCTAGAGTTGAAAAGTTAGTTCTCCCAGATGAATTGAGTTCTCTCCAGGAAAAATTCAGTGTTAGTAGTTACTAATCTCTGCATCCCAAAATGATGAAGTTGTCCCATTTACCAAAGAACACCAGTTCAACTTAAACACAAGTAGAATTGCTATTTCTCTTGTTCAATCGGTGTTGTTTGGAATGAGATAGTAAAGTAATAATATAAGGGAAGTTACTATCTTATTTAGAAGTTATATTGGTCATTACCATCTAATTTAAAAGTTAAATTGTTAAAAATTAACAGGTTATTAAATGTTTAACTGTTGCTTTTAAAAGTGTAAATTATGTATCAGAACTCCCATAAATTGATGGGTCTTGTTGAATATCAGTCTCAGAATAACTTTTTATCACTAGAAAACATATTAAAGTAGCCAATGTTGATTAATTGTTCTGTTTCTAAAGGTGTCTATTTGAATCTTAATTTTATTTGAGTGTGATATTAAGTGTACTGAAGACGTTTTTTATACTTTACTAAACGAAGTTTCTTAATTCTGTTGTTCTCTAATTGTGATTACTAACTTAATTCTTACTTCTTGTAGTTTTATCTATTAGTAAACTTTCAGATATTAGTTTATTTGTAGTATCCATTAGAAACTATCAGAACATAGTTTAACATTTCAAGAAGGTAGTTTAGTTCAGGGATCATAGTTAAGACAGACTTTTAAACTAACCTTCTAGGAATATAAAAATGGATTATCTTGTGAGGTTGGAAGCAGGGAAGAGTTACTAAAAACGTCCATTATTATTATTTTAACATTTGAATTAAGAATAGTTTTTGATTCAAGTGGAACATATCGAATGTATCTATAGATTAGTTGCTGCTACTAAGGAGATTATATTAAAGATTTATTCTTGTTTCTCCTATCAAAATGTTTGTTTTCTGTTACCTGACGGATTCGCTATGTTCTATTGGTCAATAGAATGTTTGTTTTCTGTTAGCTGACGGATTCGCTAGGTTCTGTTGGTCAACAGACTGCAGGTTTTCCTTAATGTTTTTCAATACTTGTTTCCTTTTTGAGACTTAAGGTCTAAAAGTTTGGGTTGACTTTGTTCTCTGGACTGGACAACTTGTATGTTTGAGGATATTGTTTCTGATGTTAAGTTTGTGGATTGAAGTGTACATTTATTGTAGTTTTATTTTTATACTCTTTCTACAAAAGATGATCTATAAAGACTATTTTAAACATTTTGGTTGTTTTTAAAATTACATTGTTAATGTTAAGACTTACCAAAATACTTTAGAGATACTGTACATGGAATCTAAAGGTTTGATTACTTGAGCTGCTTGTCCCTAATACTTTGACAATTTCACTTTTTTAGGCCTACTCTGTACTTCAGACTCTTGAACCCTGAAACATTAAACAAAGTTTAGTCACAAACAAATCTTTACCTACAAGCTCTCAGTTTAAAGATCAAAATATACATAAAACAATCTTCCATTGACACCCTTATGGGTACAAATAACTCTTACATAACTTATCCTGTATGTTATAGTAAACTAGATATGTAAAGTTGCATGAATGTTGTAATATATTTAACTGTTTTAAAGAAATATTTTTATAAACTCTAGTCCGTTACACTCACACTTTCTACAAAGTATTAGATTACTATAACATTGGTATGTTTGTTATTACAATGTTAGTATTAACAACATCACCATCTTTTGTGTACAGGTAGTAACTGTGGTTATTAAAGTGTACAAATGTAGCTTTACATATTTGTCATTTAAGGGGTAGAATTATCATTAGTGCTACATACACATGTAATGGGCAGTGCCCTTAAAGCTAGTCATTGGAGCTTTGACTTTACTGCCAATTACACCAAATTTATTTAAATGAGGAATGCAGTGGAAAGTGGAGCTCATGAGTCACTAAATCGGACATTTACGGTTAGACTGAAAAAAGTTTATTCTGAGACTGATATTCAACAAGACCCATCAGTTTATGGGAGTTCTGATACATAATTTACACTTTTAAAAGCAACAGTCACTAAATCGGACATTTACAGTTAAACTGAAAAAGGTTAATAGAAGTAAAAACAAAAACTATTAATTGTTTCTGAACTAAAACCACTGCATACTTTACATTAGTGAAACCACTTAATATTACTTTACCATTTCGTTATTCGTGTGTTCATCATGAAGTAAACTGTATTGTATGAAATGTTGAAGTTGCTTGATCATTCTCATCTAATTTAGAAAACATTTGGTAAACTTGGTGTTTTGATTTAGGGGTTTCAATCTTTTTCTGGAGAGGAAACGAGTTTTAATTTATGCAAATACAAAATCATACGAATGAAATATAGCGAGAACCATTTCTACCTTTCTTATCCCACAGTGTATTAAAGTCCACATATTTATCTTTACCATACTGGAGAAATTACACAATAAACTGGAGTTTGTTAATAGACAACTATAAAAGACATCTTACTTGTTTTAAGCTTACGTTATAAATGTAGAAATATTAGTATGAGAAACAACTGGTAACATAACATGTAAACTACTGGTCACATGACAGTGGCCTTTTTTTTTTTTTTAACATTACACCATGTTTTCATGTGAATTTATGTTGAAAATATTAGTGTATCTTTTATACATGTTGATTAGTTTTTAAATAAAATTGTATTATGTAGTGTTGATTGTTTGGTTAAGTATATTTTGTATATCATTAATTTAGGAGTGGCATACAACAAGTGCAGTAATGTTCATGTTTCTGGTGCTAAAACAGATCACCAGATCATTCACTTGTATTTAAAGTATTGTATACAAGTTTAATGTTTTAAAATAAAGTTACTGATACATGTAAACAACAATTAAATATATCATTAAAACTAAAACTTACCAGTCAAGGGACATACTTCCACAGGATAATCGCATTCTGGATAGGTGAGGCTATTTTCCCATTGGCTTTTCAAACTGGTAAACAAAACAAAAAAGTATAAATCACAAGTTACAGGAAAGTAACTTCTAAATAAGTGTTATTTCTTAGTACACAATCATTAATATTTTCATGCTGTTGTTTTCCACTTTTAAAGTTACACCTTTGATACCAGTCTGAGACTATGTTAACCGTTTCAACGGTTATTAGTAACAAGTAGTTTTGTGACATTCCACAGAAACCTCTAAACAAACAAGTGAAGTGTTTAGCTTTCTTGTAAACTAACAAAAGTTAATTAAGAAACAGAAATAAGTGAAAACACAGAATAAAC